ACAAACATATAAAGTGACAAGTCATCAATGTCCATATTTAATTATTCAATCTAAAGTAGACTCTGTATGGATGCATGTGAGCATGTGTTCATCACTGACACTACTTCCTTATTGCCTGAAGCAGCCAAGAGAAGCTGGAGGGGTCTCTCAAATATCTGGGGTCTGGGAGCTTTGCTTAGCTGAACCAACTCAGTCGTCCTCAATGCCTGACTTTCCGAAATATCCTTTTTTTAAATTATGGCTACATAAATATTCTTTTGTTAACTATTGAATAAACCTATTTCGTTTTCTTTTGATATTGAACCTACACTACCAGCGGACTGGCCTGAATCAGAATCAGGCTCAGCCCAGAATACAGTCTCATAGGATAGGACAGATAGCTGTGGCAAATCTGATCCCTCAATCAGCATCCTTGATTTCATTCCCTCCTGTCTTCTTTATCCTAAGAGAAAAAAAATATATAAAGCTTCCCTAAATTCTACTACCCCTTCGACCCATCAACTTCCTTCTCTTATTCCCTTAGCTACAAAATCTTAGAATGAGTAGTCAACACTCACTGCCTCTACTTTTTTCACCGTCAACTCACTCTTCAGTACTTTGTAATCTGACTTCAGCCCAATCATTGTCACTAATGCCCTCTTTGCAGGCCTTTTTCTGTCATGACCTGTCTGGTATCATTGTGGGACTTTGCTCCTTAAGCATTGGTGTCCACCAAGGTTCTGTTCTTGAACATCTTCTCTTTGTTTCTCTGTCATCTTTATCGTGATCTCACCCACTTCCATGGTTTCATATCATTCGTTTACTTTGAAAAAAATAGTAGCTCTTCACTGCCTACTAAATAGAGTTCAGACTTCTGACTTGGCATTCAAACCTTCACCCTCACCCCCACCAATGGCTTTAATATATCTGCCCAATCTTGTTTCATATTACTCCCATTCATATGGTCTATGTTCCTGCTTAATGGAATCATTCCCTCCCTCTTTCTCATTTTCCCCTCTTTTTTTTTTCATCTCTGTGCCATGTCATTCTTCAGGCTTGGTATAGACTCCTCTTCCTACATTTATATCTGTTCTAGTCTTTCCTTTATTCCAAAGATGAATTAATGTACCATCTTCTCCACAAGGCCTTCTTCAGGTCAAACTGATATCTCCCTTCCTGAATTTCTGATGGCACTTTGCTTTGCTTTCCTCTTCTTCTGCCATAGTATCTTTTTATCATACTTTATATGCATTCAGAATCCCTCACCTCCATTATCTATAGTATCCTCCAAGGTAGGAAGTGTGTTTTTCCACATTTAACATTTTTCATGATTTCATATTTAACTTAGTATATGGTGCCTTGCATACTGCACTTAATATTTGCCAAATTTAACTGTGAAATTGAATTGACTCTATATACTAAAACTTGTAAACTTTATGGAGTCCCAACTGCATTTTGAGAAGTAATAAAAATACAGTACCCTATGAAAAATTTCCTAATTGTTTTTTCACATACCATGTACACAGAACTCTAGTAGTCATTTATAGTTAAACATTTCTCAAGAAAACATTTTTAAAAATGTCTTATGTATCTATACCTCCACATTGCTGTGATTTCTGAAAAAAGTACAGTGAAGTTTCACCAACCTGAATTCAAATAGGAACTAAAAAATACTGTAATTGCAATATAGGTGTAATTAAACAAAGGTCTCTCATTGACTGTAGACTTGATGTTGCTATTACTTCTTTTCTGATTTCTGAGAAGAGTCAAGTAGAATGGATCTCAGAACTTGATATAAAGAAACCTGAGTTTGACTTCTGCCTCTGACATTTATTCTTTCATCCTACGCAGGCCACATCATCCCTGAGCATAAATTTATTTGGCTTAAAATGGGAACAATTCTTACATTACATCATTTACAGGATTGTTTAGGAAATCACTTTCAGAAACCTTAAATAGCAATATTAATTTGATTCTTTATTATCTGAGATACAGATTTGAAGACTATCATTTAATATCATAAAGGGAAGATGGTATGACAGAAGGTGGTACATAGCTATGTGTACTATGGTGCTTGAATTAACAGAAGTTCCTGTCATTGAAAATAAAGCTCTGGCTCCAAGTTACTTTTGAACTTATAATGAAAAAGTATTGTAAAAATAATGCAAAGCTATTATTTCATTCACTACTACCAATCAGCCTTTATTCAATGATACCCAAAGGTCTCTCTAGGTATTACAAGGAGACTCACAAATCTCTTCAAAAATCTTAAGTCAAAACATTAGCCATTACATATAGCACTTTGTAAAAGATTGTCTTGGGGCAGTGGGATGATTTAAGAAACTAGGCCAACTTGGCTGACTTCAGAAAGCTGGTAATCATCACACTAAAATATAGCCACTTTTGCATATTGACATACTTATTTTTTCCATTGTGCAAAGCAGTTGGCATTTGTTTCAGAGACTGGCAGAGTACAGCTGAATCTGGGCTGATTAGTACCATTGTGAGCCATTAATTTGGGATAGCTAGGATAATGGACCTTTTGCAAGAACCAAGTTTTCTACATAGCATCATTACTTCAAGATCTGTCTAAGTACAGATAAGTTATTGAAGGGAGAAGGACCTGAAGGAATTCACTGTAGAGGCAGATACAATCATAGTCAATTACAATCATTATTTCCACATCCTGTCTTCTCACACATTTGTGATCCTTTGCAATCTGCTTTCTGATTTTATCACTAAACTCAAAAAAGCAAAACTGCTGTCTCTAAAGTTACCAATTCTATCCTAATTCCCAAATTTGATGATCTTTTCTCAGTTCTCACCATTCTTGATCTCTCAGGGGTATTTTGTACTATTGTTTAATACCCTCCTACAGAATACAATCATTCCTCTGGGTTTTCATTATACAACTCTTTTGGTTTTCCTACTCTTGTGATCTCTTCTTCTTATTTCTCCTTTGCTGGATCTCTGTAGAGGGTGCTTTCTAATTGTGGGTGTACCTATAAGTTCTCCCCTGGACTTGATTCATTAAAAAAAATCCTGATCTTAACAAACACCAAATAACATGAATGTGTATATACATATGTGCGTGTGTGCGTGTGTATAATGTGTATGTATGTATATCTATATTTATCTATCCCTTTCTCTAAGTCTACATATATTTAGGTCCATCTATCTATCTATCTATATCAGAACATGAGAAGAGGATTGTGGAATTCTGGGTCATGTAACCAACAAGATGGAGGACTAGATATTTTCTCTGATCCTTATAACCTCTGGGAATGTCTCCAAAATAGAACTTATGAAACAGAGATAAAACAATTTCAGTTGTCTCATAGTCTAGACAGAGGTGTCAAACTCAGGATTCCTGCCCCATGCAGCCTAAGCCAGATCAAAATGTAATTGGGAAATGTTTATTAAAATAAATTTTAAAATATAATGCAACATAGACGATGTCAATTTGAGTTTTTATAAGTAAATATGCAATTTATTTCTATTTGAATTGACACCACTGGTAGGGCACCAAGAATGCAAAGAAGTTAAACACATTTCATGAACTAATTCCTAATTCATGTTCACTTAGCACCTTCTTCCCTAACACGCATAATGCTCCAGTCATCAAGAATACAGTAGCCTATGAAACTATGGATTTACACCAGAATTCATTCCCATACCATTACTCCTCTACCTCTTTCCAGTATCATGGAGATCCAAACTCCAAACGTTAGAAATTTGCCCAGGCTACAAAAGTACCAGCATAGTACCACACTGTATCACTGGGTCAGAGAATTAAAAAACAGAGGGGAGCGGCTGGACAGCATTTATGTGTATGGTGGGGAAGGAGCACTACATAGTACTTCACTAAAACTGAAGGAAAGAGCCTAGCATTCAGCTAAAGCCAGTTCTGTACCCCCGGAATTCAACTGGGACAGAGACTAAGCTGTTGAACCATAAATTGCTCAGCATGGGAGGATGCTAAGATGCTTTGAGATCCAAACCACCATCATAGTAGGAGTCAGAAAATGAACAATAGGAAGAGATAAGGGGGGAGAAGATAGGAATTATCAAAGATCCCAGGAGGAAGAAAATTTAAAGACCTGGAGCATGAGAAGATAAAACTATGGAGAATAAATTAACTGCAGAAGAAAATATGGCCTCCAGATTCATAAATAAATACTGAAAAACAAAGGAAAATTATTCAGCACCTGAGGAGACAAAATATCCTATGTATTTTTAATAGAACGTGGAACCATGAGAACTATGAGAGTAGAATTTAAGATCTGTAAAACAGAAATAATTGGCATAATAGAAAAACTTGAATCTTGAGTGGAAAGCCTCACTAAAGAAGCAAAAGAGAGGACAAATGATTGTGAATGCAAAGTCAGAAGTGAAGGACACTCTGGAAGAAGGCAGAAAGCAAAAACATTAAAAGAAAACATGATGCCCATACAAGTGAAACATATTAATCTCAAGGAGAGTATGGGTAGAGATAATTTAAGGATTATAGGTCTCCCAAAAGAAATAGCCTAAACACTATAATACAAGAAATAATACAAGAAAATGGCCCAGAACTTCTGAACATAAAAAAATAGAGTGGTAATTGAAAGAGTCCATAGATTGCTTTCAGAAAAAAACCTGTAGGCAGCAAACTCCAAGACACACAGTCATATAATTTAACAATTCAATTGAGAAACAAGAAAAGGATTGTACACGAATCTATTACATAGTTTGCTTTTCTTTTTAGATACATAATAAATTTAGTATGTAACTTTCTTTTTTTTTTAAAGCAATTGGGGTTAAGTGACTTGCCCAGGGTCACCCAGCTGGTATGTGTCAAATGTTTGGTCTGAGGCCAGATTTGAACTCCAGTCCTCCTGACTTCAGGGCCAGTGCTCTATCCATTGTACCACCTAGCTGCCCCTAATATGTAACTTTCAAAGCCATCCCGCTTATCTGTGATTTTTTTTTTTCTGGCTTTCCACTTTAAAAAAATATTTTAACGACTTTCTTCTTTTTGTTTCAGAGTCAGGCCTATCTCTTCTCCCCACATCCAAAAATGTATGTCTTATTCTGCATCTTAATCCAATAAATGTAAGGAGGTAAGTAGTATGCTTCGTCACCAATTCCCTGAATGAGTGGATCTCCCTCTCTCTGTATGTCTCTGTTTCTTTTTCTCCCCATCCCCATAGCCCAGGGAGCCTACCACCGAAGTATATTAGAGGTGAGACTTGAAGTCAAAGTCTTCCTATTCACTATGCCACAATGTCTCTCAATGGCTCAGTTCAAGTGCTACCTTCTACTTCAAATCTTTCTTGATGCCCCCCAGCTGCTAGTACAAAGCCCTGGCCAAAATACCTTGGGTCTCCTTTGTATATACATATACATGTTGTCTCTCCCAGATAGACTCTAAAGTTCTTAAGATAAGGGACTATTTTCATTTTTGTATTGCATAGCCCTAGCACATAGTTGGTGGTTAATAAATGCTATTTTAATTTAGTGATTGAAAAATAATTAATAGATGGGGGAAAATGAGGAACTACAGAAAGAGGAAGAGGAGGAGGAGAGAAACAGAGACAGAGACAGACACAGAGAGAGATAGATACAGAGAGAGTAAAACAGAGAAAGAGAATGACTAGAGAGATAGATTATATCAGAGAGGAAAAGAGATAGGTAGACCAATGAAGGTAAGCAGATAGTATGAAGACAGAATGGTAGTATACTAACATGGACATACCCTGCTTAGGATCCTCATACACACATAGAAAAAGGTGCTTAATAAACCAGTGCAAGAGGGGCCAGTTCATTAGAATAAAGTTTCAAAATGAGTAATGAGCAAAATAAAGTGATAGCTGGGTTTTGCAATGTTAGGATGGGATTGCTCATGATTTACTGATCAACAACATTGAGAACCAATATTATTGAAAGAGGATGCAGGCTGTAGTAGGTAAAGTGTCAAGTCACCAAGACCTGTTTTTGAATGCTCCTCTGAGTTTTCTGGTACAGGGAAAATCTCAATGACTGTGAGCTCAAATCTTGGCTCAGATGTTTACAAGCTATGTGACCCTGGGCCAGTTACTCAATAATAAAAGCACCTATCTCTCAGAGGTGTTGTGAAGATGAAATGAGATAATAATTATAAAGTGTACGGTGCTTGGCATGTAGTAAGTGCTATATAAATGTCAGTTATTGTTATTACTAATTGGCATTTCTCTGGAAGTGATGCACAAAAAAAGGAGATTCCATAGGGTAAGCCCTAGAAGGAAGAGGCAGAAAACACCTAGAGGAGAGAGGCTAGAATATATACCTTGGAAGCTTTGATAGTATTAAGAATACAGAGAGGATCTAGTAAGATATTTGTAAAAGAACTTACCATAAAGCCTGGCACAAATGTTTATTTGCCTTCTGCCTTCCTTCAGCCTCTCACTTGAGTCTTTAGTCCTTATTTTATTAAATCATATACAAATTGAATCTGTGTGAGTAGACAGAGCTCTCAAGCTGCAGGTTTTCACTCTGACAAAATGATAAAGCCCTATTGTATTCCTATATTGAGATACTTTGTTGATTGAAGCAACCATATTAAGAGTATCCTGACATAATTAGTTAAGGGAAACAAACAAGCAAAAAACACTTGTTTTACTCTTTTTTTTTTTATCATTTTAAACCCAAGAGAATAAATTTGAAACTAGGAGGAATCTTAGAGGTCATCTACTCTAACCTCACATAGAGAAGAAATCAGAGACCCAGAGTCTAACTTACTTGTCCAAGGTCATGATGTAGCAAGCAGAAGTGTTTGGATTTGAACTTAAAATCTAAGTTTTAGATTTAGAATTTAAATCTAGTATTGTTTCCAATGCAACATGTTTGGCCCAGAAATTTTTTTCTTGCTTGCACACTGAGGAAGTATAAGTAATCTCAACTCATTGTGAATGTATCTAAGGATATAAACATTTCAGATTGAAAGGACTCCATCACTTCATCTACCTTCAGGTGATACAGACTGACATAATGACACTAGTACTTAAAGCCAAGTGAGGCAATGAGTTCCTGAGCTCTAAGTAGCTGTTTTACGAAGTTCACTGTAGGAGAAACAGCCCAAGTGGCAGCAGTGGGCCTCTGAATAAGCAATAAAGCCATTTGAACCAAGCAGTGAATACCTTGCGCCTCATTGGCACTAGAATCCTGAGGCCTCTACAGTAATGAACTGTTTTTAGATATATCCAAGTAGAGCACAGGAGGCATAGCTAATGAAAGTGGAAGGGGTTTCTTCTCCCCAGGTGTTCACCATCAGTACTAACACTACTATTGTTTGGCAGGCTACCCTGGTAAGGGGTATGGGTGGAACTGAAGAGATAAGTCTAGGAGGTAAAGGAAGAGCTAATCAAGAGATATGGTTGGAACAAGCCATAAAATTTCCCTGGGGACTAGAAATAAAATAATGGATTCAATTCAATAAATATTTACTAATGATCTACTATATGTTGAGGTGCTAGAGGAAATAAAAAAATTTAGAGAAGGTGTAGACCAGGGGTGAGGAACCCACAGCCTTGAGGCCACGTGTGGCCTTCTAGGTCCTCAGGTGTGGCCTTTTGACTGAGTCCCAGTTTTACGAACAAATCCTTTCATTAAGAGGATTTGTTCTGTGAAGTTTGCATTTGGTCAAAGGGCTGCACTTGCGGACCTAGAAGGCCACATGTGGCCTTGAAGCTGTACCTTCCCCACCTATGGTACAGACATTGCACTTATGGAATTTATAATCTAATACTGGCAAAACATACACACATATATACACACATGATAACCTTATTGGGCAACACAATAACCCCTATACAAAATAACCTCTAACTACATTACAGGGTCATATGGGGAAGGAGAAGGGAAGGGATATAAAGAAGCAAATATAATTTCTACGTATAGAGGTGGGGATGTGTTATTTAAGTTCAATGTTAAAGGCTGGAAGCCAGCATCACTAAGAAGGGAAGAGGAAAGCTGGGAAGTGAGAACTTAGGGTAAGAATCAAGCTTCTCATATCCGAACATACAAGGTAGGGTAGAGTAAGGTGTATGGGGATAATGCACAGTAGGGGATAAAGGAAGGCATTGTTATAGACTGGATGTTTAAATGAAAAGTTGTGGAAATTCCAATTATATTAAGAAAGCATTTTGGACCCAGCTAAGCAACCAGAGTTTGGGATGGTAAGGGCTGTATTGTTGGGGTCCCCATGAGATTTTCCCAATGTATTTTTGTGAAAGTCTTCCACAGATTATTGACCCTTGGGAAGATGGATAGGAGAATCGTACCTTAACTTCATTTCCCTTCCCTGTGTTGTCTTGTGGTCTGTGTCTACACTGTGTACCTCACCATTGGCTAAAGGTCTTTCTTCTGGTACTTTGTGAGTCTATGATGATAATCTTTCTTTAAAAAAAATGTATTTCTTAATATTTTCATTTTTCATCACTTAAATTTTTTCATCTATCACTTCCCTCCTCACTCTGAAAGATATCAAATATAACAAAACATTTTTAAATAAAAAAGATAAAGAGAAAAAATAATGTTCTAAATTGCTTCCCAGAATAGATGTACCAATTTACAACTTTACCCACAGAGTATTAGTGTGCCTATCATCCCATACACCCTCCAAAAACCTCATTTTCTTTGGTGAAAGCCACTTTCATTTTAATTTCTCTTATTAGTGATGATTTGAAACATTTTGTATGTTTTTGATAGCTTGATTTTCCACTTTTGAGAAATGCTCTATCATATCCTTTGACTCTATAGCTTGAACATCAGATTTTTTTATACTGATTTCTTTCATTTGCTTTTATTTTTTAAAATGTATTTATTTATTTACTTTTAGTTTTCAACATTCACTTCCATAAGATTTTGAGTTCTTAATTTTTTCTCTCTCCTTCTCTCTCTCCCCTCCTCAAGATGGAGTGCAATCTGATATAGGCTATACATACACATTCATATTAAACATTTTCACATTGGTCATGTTGTAAAGAAAATTAGAACGAATGGGAAGAACCATAAGAAAGAAAAAACAACAACAAAAAGAGAGTATTTTTCAATCTACATTCAGACTTCATAGCTCTTTTTTCTGGATGTGAATAGCATTTTTCATCATGAGTCTTTTGGAGTTGTCTTAGATCCTCACATTGCTAAGAAGAGCTAAGTACATCAGTTAGTCATTGCACAATGTTGCTGTTACTGTGTACAATGTTCTCCTTGTTCTGCTCACTTCACTCAGCATCAGTTCATATAAGTCTTTCCAGGTTTTTCTGAAATCTGCCTGATCATCATTTTTTATGGAACAATGGTATTCCATCACATTCATATACAACTTGTTCAGCCATTTCCCAATTTATGGGCATCCCCTCAAATTCTAATTCTTTGCCACCACAAAAAGAGTTCCTATAAATATTTTTGTACATGTGGTTCCTTTCCCCATTTTTATGATCTCTTTAGAGTACAGACCTAGAAGTGCTATTGCTGGGTCAAAGGGTATGCACAATTTTATAGCTCTTTGGGCAAAGTTCCAAATTACTCTCTAGAATGGTTGCATCAGTTTGCAATATCACCAACAAATACTATAATGTTCCAATTTTTCCACATCTTCTCCAACCTTTATAACATTTTCCTATTTTGTCTTGTTAGCCAATCTGATAGGTATGTTTGGTACCTCAGAGTTGTTTTGATTTGCATTTCTCTAATCAATATGATTTAAAGCATTTTTTTTTCATATGGCTATAGATAGCTTTAATTTCTTCCTCTGAAAACTGCCTGTTCATATCCTTTGAGTATTTGTCAATTGGGGAATGACTTTGTATTATTATAAATTTGACTCAGTTCTCTATGTATAATTTTACAATCATGGCCCTTAGAGACACCGGTTGTGAAAATTGTTTCCTAACTTTCTGCTTCCCTTCTAATCTTGGTTGTGTTGGCTTTGTTTGTGCAAAAAAGTTTTCAATTTAACTTATAATATATTCTATTGGAGCTTTTTATTTTTTTGGCTAGGCAATGGGGTTAAGTGACTTGCCATGGTCACTCAGCTAGTAAGTGTCAAGTGTCTGAGGCCAGATTTGAACTCAGGTCATCC